ATGAAAAGGGAATAGATTTTTTAAACACAAGCCAAGGCAAAAAAAAAAAAGTTGATTTTGCTTGGTAGTTTTGCTATTTATAGTTTGTATTCATCAATGAGGTAGTAGTAACCCTCTGTCCAGACAGAGTTCAGCATTTGACTTGTATCTGAAGTCAAAATTCAAAACTTGTTTATTGGTAAGCATAGTTTGCATTATAGAAGCAGCACTGTAGTTTGAGGGGGTTATTACTCAGGTTATACCAGGTGACACAACATACTGTATGAACTTGCATACTATCCCCGTCCCCACTCCATTAAGACATACACCCAGTTTTCAGAAGACTATGCAAAGAAAAAGATTCATCTTGCTAGCAGTACAAAGAGGGCAGTTGCAGTAGAAGGGAACAACTGCTAACTGCTCTCTTAACCCCTTAGCTGTTGGCTGTGGACAACTCCCCACCCTCAGCAACAGTTTAAGTATGTTCCTTCAGCATGTGCAGAGTTACTGCCCTCCTTTTGTTGAGTGGACATCCTCAAGCTGCTGCTGGGGTAGATACTATTGCTGATGGAGGAAAATGTCCACAGTCAGCCAGCAGTTAGGGAGTTAATGAAGTACTATAGGTTGCTGCTTTCTCCTACTGCAGATACCCATGTTTATACTGCTGGCAAGTGAGGAAATACAACAAAACCAAGCCCCAAAACACCCTCAAGCTGCTCCGAATGCAGATGCTTCTACTCGGTTAGTAACAAGTCTATAGCAGGAGGGTCTGTCTGGGGAAAGGAGAAGTGCACAGCGCGACTTCCTTTTTCCTGGGGCAGAAGCTCCTGTTCCAGAAGCTATTACCGACTCAGTAGGAGTGTCTGCACTGGGAGCAGCTTAAGGATGTCCTGGGGCTTGGCTAAATTTCCTTGCTTAAACAAATGCACCTCAATGTTCAGCAACTGATTTTCAAGAAAAAAGGCAAGTGTAGCATGTGAAGAAAAGCCTCATTTTAAAAGATTCCAAAGCCTGCATGAGGTACTAAGAACAGATGCTTTTGCCTGCAGCTACAGATCTGGAAGCTACTGAGTAATCTTGACATCTGGTTTAATTCAAATGGGTTTATTTTCTCTATTAATCGCCCTACCTTTAGAGCCAAACAGTCCAGCAAGAACAAAGGGAAGGATACATGTTTCTTCATAAACCTGGATAGTGGCCATATCACCCTCCAGTCGGATAATTTCTCCCACCAGCTCACTGTGGCCAACTCGTACCAACTCGTACATGGCTGCACCTGCCATGTTACAGGCAGTAACCACTGCGTGAAAAAAAGCCATCTGGGTCAACCTCTCCTTTGCCAGTTTTAAGTTTTTTCTTCAGCTTACGTTACAAATAATGTGTGTGTAAGCTGGTATATAATCAGTAAACTTATACTTAAGCCATAATCAAGATCCTGGGAAAGTAAAGTAAGAATCTGTTAAATATAGCTGCTAATATCAAGCTAGGCCAAGTACTTGTTAAGAGTGCAGCTGTCCAACTTCTAAGTGGCTGAAAGCCATGTCACTCCCAGATGGGGTGTAACGAAGCAAAAGCTGAAGGCAGGAGGGTGAGTACAGAGACCCTGTCAGCCTCAGGATGGCATGGGAGCAGCAGAAGCTGCAAAAAGGGATTGGGGGGGGGGGGGGGGGGGGGTTTTTGGGGGGAAAAAAACACCCCCCTTTCAGGGGGGGCCCCCCCCCCCCCC